CAGGCGACTGTTTGCCGTCGCTTGCGAGTAAGTCTCGCGAAAAGGCGTCGCACTCTATATCTCTATCTCTCTCTCTCCCCCCCCTCTCTCTCGCCCTTTCTCTGTCCCTCTCTCCCTCTTTGCCTCTTCCCCTCTCTTCCTCTCTCCCTCCCCCCAAATCTCCCTCTCTCTCCCTCTTTCTTTCTTTCTCTATTTTTCCGTATTTTTTGTACATTTCGAGATATTTCGGTGTGAAAATCAAAATGAGACACCCTGTATATGTAATATACAAAAAATCCATGAAACTCTGAACGGCACTTCGATCTCCAGACTTAACTCCTATGAACTTTTTTTTTTTGAGGACGGATTAAAGACATTGTCTATCAACATCGACCAACAACAAGAGACGACATGATGAAACGAATTCGAAACGCCTGTCAGTCGCTAAGCTCCGAAGAAGTTGTACGAGCTACGGATAGTGTTAAATCACGTTTGCGGAAATTGTGCATCAAAATGGCAAGCATTTTGAACATTTATAAATTATTGCAGACATTCACACATTTATACATTTTTCTCAAAACTTGTAAGAAATAATTAAATTAAATTCTAATAAAACTTGTTTCTTTTTCGAAGCTCTATCCAATGATACCCCATTCGACCTATGTTCCCATTTGAAATTTCAAAGTTGACCTAAGTAACACCTACTTCCGGTTTATTCCGGAAGTTGAAACTATCATCAATAAATACTTTTGGTATTCTTTAGTAATGAAAATTTTTTCCCTAACTTTCTACGACGTTCCATTGCTGAGAAAAACGGCTAGCACGGGTGGTCTGAAATACCCTGTATATATAATATTTTGAGATTTCTTAGAAGAAAGTTTGATATTTCTTGATATATGTGCTATTATTTTATTATCACACAGAACTTAACCTAATAACAATTATTGCACTTTTTTCTCTCTAGTAGATGTCACTAGTACGAGCAGTCGATGACTGACGTCGATAAGTGTGATTGACCGATTGGAGTCGACAATCGTAGTCGGCAGTCGAGTCGGCAGTGCAGTCAGTATCTGATATAGGCTTTACTCTCGCCTCGGATGTAACTTGCTTAGCTTTCCTCCTTTCTCTCTCCCTTTTTCGACTTTATTCACATTTCTTTATATCAATTCTCTCTACTGTCCTTTGTTATTCGTTTTTTAAACCCTGTCCCTCTCTACTAACCTAACATTGTTGCCACATCTTATAAATTATTAATTCTATGCGCTCAATTTCTTAGATCTTCCATTTTTTCAAAAAATTTTTTCCTTTAATATCTACGATTTTTTAACCAACATCATCATAATATTAATTTAAAAATACTTATAATGAGTATTTTTTTTATTAAAAAACGTTTAAATTGATTAAATTCAGCCCAAGATATGGGTCGACAAAGTTTGTGAGTTACGCTAACCAAAGTGTATAATAATCAGAGGAAAAATATAGTGTATAGGCAAAAGGTTAAATGATAGCTATTATTATAGTATTAAATAAGTCATTCATCTGGATTTATTTTCTCCCGCGATGGATGTTAATATCGTGGTTCCGTTCTCGTCTTCGGGGTCCTCCATTATGCAATTTCTCCTCGTCCTAGTTGCCAATAAGACATCGAGTCATACAAATTTTTGGAACACGAGACCATCAACTTTTTGGCGTTCGCACACTAACGTTGTGCGGGTACTCAGCACGCCCGAACTCGTGATTTTTTACGTTAAATCATTATGACGTTAAATCATTATAACGCTCTTTAGATCGCTACGTCACAAATTATATTTCGTATATAAGAAAGTTATTTAAAAATTTTTTTTACATTTCCTCCTGATGAAAGGAATCTTCCCACGAGTTCGAGCGGATTTGAATATTTTTTAAACATTTCTGTAAACATATGGTATTACTGTTAGACTTATATTATTTATTTTTTAATGCATGCTTAATTATGTTATCCCATAATGATTTTGGTGTTACTTTAATTAGTAAAAATATCAGTTTTACGATTTCAATTTATCGAAATTTCTAATAAATAGCGGGTTTCCTATTTTCTACACTATAAGGAGATGCTTGTTTGTTCGTCGCTTGTCTCGGATTTTATATAAGTTTCTTCAGATGTTCGTACGGCTTCGCTTGCCGTTTGTTTGCCTCCGGTGGAGGTTGGCACAGTTCGCTCGGTCTTTCACTATAAGTTATAAGATGGTTTTCAGTTATATGATTTTTAAATCAATTAATATTGCCCGTAAGCTATGTATTTAAGAAAAATACAATAAGACGCGCACGTTGATCAAAATATCAGAGTTGTGATTTAAACAAAAAGCGTTACAATAATACACCGACCGTTCCCCGTCTTTTGCGACCGCACCACCGCCAGCGCCATATCACCGAGGCCGCGCAAACAGTTCCGATCGCGATCGGAAGCTACCGAATCGCGCCAGTGCCGACTTCGGTCGAAAAAAATCCGAGCGAACTGTGCCAATCTCCACCGGAGACAAACAAACGGCAAGCGAAGCTGTACGAACATCCGAAGAAACTTATATAAAATCTGAGACAAGCGACGAATAAACAAGCATCTCCTCGAGAACAGCGAAACCGAGAAATATGTACTCATTAGAGTTTCCGTAGAATATTCCATTGTATATTCGCAGTATTCTAGCATTTCGAATCCGACGGGTTGTGAATACGCAATCACATAATCCCGAGCTGTGGATACGTAGCCGTTCGCTCCAATCCGAAAGCTGCGGACACGCAGCTATCAATTCCAAATACTAAGTTGTGAATACGCAGCTACCCGTCTCAGGCTGTGGATACACAGCTTACTGCTTCGTCCCGAGTGGGACCTATTGACCACGATACGATTGGACACAGATTGTAATGATTAGTTTGACCTAGTAATTCACTAGATAATTCTTTTCATCGGTTGGTTGTGTCCAATCGTACCGTGGTCAATCGGGACGCTCCTCTTCGTCCCAAGCCGTAAATACGTGGCTACCCGTGGTTCTCCGCAAACCGTGAATTCACGGATGCCGGATCCGTAAGTATAGGCCAAACGTGGATACGCGACCAATCACTGTTTATCATAAATCATGGATACATGATTTCATAGCAACGGCCGTACGAATAGTGGATACATGATCGCAAGGTCCTCCTTCCTGATCAGTCATGTATTCGTAACTGATCATTAGTTAAAGGTCCTTATAGTACCAATCACATAAAGACCCGTAAATATAAACACCGCACATGACGTAGCAAGAACGCACCTCTCGCTACATTCAGCCGCGCGCCACGACTTCGAGCGTCGAGTTAAAGATTGCCGATATACAGGGTGTTCCCAAAAGGTGATACCAAATTTTAGTGGTATAAAGTACTCGTTAAAACAAACCAAAAACTCTTACTGAACAGTACTCCGAAAACCTTTTATTTTTGAGTTATGAAGCATTTTGTTCTGTGAAAAATAGAAAATAAATTAAATCTACAATAAATGTTCTGTGTGCCTTCGGTTCATGTCAATACACATTTCGACATGTTTCGTCATTGAAGGTCAAAGAGTCCAGGTTTATTCGTATTTGTTGACAACAGTTTCCAAGTCTCTTAGTCAGTTCATTATATGTATAGAGCGAAGATAACATCGAGCCATAATCGTTCTGTCATCACAAGCAGCAACGCCCAACGCTTGTAAACATTTTCAAGAGCGAGACACACGCGAAGCTATCGAATTGTATATAACACCTCACATGGCAAATTAAAGGATACGACTTTGATCTAGAATTCTGTTATTTCAATGAAACCTTCTTTCGCTTTCCGAATCCTAAGAACTCCAGTGAGCATCCGGCCACAAACCGACCATTACAATACGTTTTTCGTATATTAGGAAAATATTTAAGCATTTTCGAAAGAATTGTAGGTCCTAACAATATTGTATAATTTTGAAGTCATTTAATGTTGCCCGAACAACATGTTCTTAAGAAAACGAGAGAGAAAGAGAGGGAGAGAGAAGAAGAGAGGAGGAGAGAGAGAAAGAGAGGGGGAGAGAGAGATAGAGAAAGAGAGAGAGAGAGAGAGAGAGTACTGTTGTAACTGTTTTTTAAAATCATTGTCAATTATCAAAATCTTTCATGTCGTAACATGAAATACAAATTTCTATGCCAGTAACAAATAATTCAGCTAATGCGTAGCGATAAGTTGACTGTAGTAGGCCTTTTTTACGCATCTGGCGGTGATGTCGCCGTTCTTACCTACCTACTATATTTGGCCCGTTATGAGCTAACGATTTTTGTTAACAACTTAAAAACTAAGCTTTTGACGATGTTTTGCAAGATAAAAATGTCTTAGAATTTTGTATTTTGAAGGACAAATGATTATTCTGAACTAACCTGTATATATGATGATATTAATTAATATAATTTTATACAGACAATCTAAAATAAAGTATATATATTTTGCAAAATTATATAAATGTTTATTTTTCCTTGTTATTTTATTTTCTACGCACGTAATTTCATATTATACGTATAATTAAAATTCTTAGTGTGCGAAGAAGAGTAAACTGCGAAACATTTCTTAATCCTTTGTTAATTTATCCTATGATAAAATTAGTTAGTCGAGCGCTATACCTAAATAATGAATAAATGACACAAAGACAGAAAAATATAAATATATTAAATGGACAAAGATTAAAATCATAATAGTATTAGAATAATAGAATATTATTCGCATTATTCTGATAATTTCCTTTCAATTTTTTTTTTCATGAAGACAATAAACGTCAATGTGAAGCACAAATCATGTTTAACGAGGAGCATTTACAACTTTTATAATCTTAGATCTAGATATAAGAATCTTATAAACAACGAATTTTTGTGGAATTATTAATTTATTGGATGTATCGAAGAACATGAAGATTGGTAACTGTTACTAACTGGTAATAGAGAAAGTGAATACATCGTTTCTCCATCATTTAATATTTTTACTATTCGTTATATTCCCACTTGAACTTGTAACAACTGTTAGTGAGAACAAAATCAAGGAATTTCTCCCTATAAGTTAGGTAAAGTCAAATGGAGTTATTGAAGTTTATTAACAAATTTAATTTTTAAAATCGACTTTTTTCACAGAAAGATTTTAAATTGTGATATTGGAAAGTTGTGGTAAATTAAACTACAGTTTCAAAATCGCGCGCACGCGTTGACAATTTTGTACATACTATATAATTTATAAGATCCCCAACAAAATATAAATGATAAAAATAAAAAATTGGGACCCTTTCCTATATATGTGGGAGAATTATTCCTTTATTTATATATTATTACTCTCGGGCATAATTATCATAACGTTCAGATGATCAACATTTTTCTCTGATCTTTGTCTTTTTTTCCTTCTCTTTTTAACATAAATTGTATTCTGTTATCCTCGTATAGAGATACGTCGACCGTGGCGCTTGTAAGTCATATTTCGCTATAGCGGTTGACTATCAAAGATACATCAAATATCAAACGAGGTTCTGTTAAACACTCATTCATACACACATACACACACGCATACACACGCGCGCGCTCATCCATACACGAGACGAAAATATACAAAATAAATAATACAAGAATTACAAGAATCCAAATCGTGAAGAAAATATTTGATGTTGATAGTTCCGATATCTTGACAGGAAACATAGACATGATAGTAGAATTGTATTGCCAGTTACATTATACCATTACGCGGTATACTCTTCTCATTTTCGGAGTAAATGGAATTTAAAAAAAATATGGAACGAAGACAGCGTCGTGTGTTACGTTTTATCACGCTCGCAATTTACAATTAAATCACAGATGGTACGCGCGTGGTACAGTACAGTACGGTACAGTACGACGATGATAAATAAAAAGAGATTGTACACAGATCGGCATTAATGAAGTCTCTTTTAGGAATAAATATTTATACTCAATGCACTTTACGCGTGATATTATCTACATTTGACGTTGTTTGTCACGTAATACATCAACTTACCGAACGACTAATCGACGGGCAGATTACGCTAAATGTGCTCAGAGCATATAGAATATAATCTCAGCGCTCGTGCGTGTATTTGACATGAGATACTACTCTTGATATTTGTACCTTAAAGGACTATATTAATGCCTGTGTATTAGTTGATATTATGCTATAATATATTGTTCTCAGTATAACATACGAGAAACATTGTTTTTTTTTTTTCGATAAGAATATGCGAGTGTACAAATATATGCGCGGACACTGCGGTCGTTTTTTATTTACCCAATTAATCGATCGATTAATCGTTCGTTGATCGGTAACTAATTTTTCGTCGATATCTTAGCATATTTTTATTTTTCCGATACTTAGCAATAATAACAGTGATAAAGGATTGCTGAAGTGTTTTGTTTATACCAATTCCGCTGTTTTGCTTTTATTTTTATTTTATATTTTGTATTCTTTTTTAGCGTTTTACTCATCACGTATATTTGCTATCGCAGTTTCGGCAACAATATGCCTGAGAGGAAAAAACAAAAAAATAACATTCAATTATTGATACATTGTCGAACAACAAGAATCAACAAAAGTAAATTAATAATTACCAGTTGACTCTACATAGTGTTCTCTTGACGATTTTGGAACAATATAGTCTCTTCAAAAATATATTGTTTTAGTACTTCTTTTGGAAGATCATCTAACTCCATGTCAAATTTAAACGGTTCCTCCGCCACAGGCTAGAAAGTAACATTAATACAGATTAGAAATGCGTTTTTAAAGTAATAACCGCAATTGCTATATTGTAAAATTTACCTCATCGGCAGGATCGTAATATTGCTCTAAATAAGGATGCGCAAGTGCATCTTCTACTACGATACGTTTGTTGGGATTAAATGTCAACATTTTATCTAAAAGATCCAAAGCTCTTGGGTCAGCATTTGGAAATAGACTTGTCCATGGTACCTTTGGTTTATAAGGCAATGATTGTAGGTAATTACGTGCCTGAAATGACAATATTTTAGCGCTACTCTGTTATAGACAAAAAAATAAGTTAGAAAACAAAAAGCACAAAATATTCGAATATAGTATATTCTAGAATTAAACTCAAAATGATTTGAAAGCGTGAGAGTAGTTAGTACTTTCTCATTTATAATGCATTCAAGATCCTCCGGAGAAGGTGAGCCGAGAACACCGAGAATATGATTCAATTGATCTAGATAATGTTTCCCGGGGAATATCGCTCGTCTCGAGAGCATTTCTGCTAAGATGCAACCTACCGACCAAATGTCTATAGACTTGGTGTAACCCTGAATAAAAAAAGATACGTGTTATAACGTAATACGTAAACTATCTTTCATTTTATCAAGTATATGCTTTAACAAGGTTTTCGTTACAAGGATTAATACCTTGGAATTAAGCATAATTTCGGGAGCTCTGTACCATCTTGTTGCCACATACTCCGTAAGAAAACCTGCATGATTGTGCTCCGGATCCGCAACTCTCGCTAAACCAAAGTCGCAGATCTTAAGGTCACAAGTGGTATTTAACAATAAATTACTTGGTTTTAGATCTCTATGTAGTACATTTGCTGAGTGTATGTATTTCAACCCTCGCAATATTTGGTACAGAAAATAACATATATGATCGTTACTAATTGCCTGAAATAAAAATTTATATTTGGACATAATTGTTGTGTCTACATGTCGCCCTGTTTCTTAAAGTTATACTACGCCAAATCTTATATGTCTTAACATTATAAGTGGGGTTACTTGTATAAATTTTCAACTTTATATTATACAGGCTGTCTCAGAACAACTTTCAATGCTCTCGCGGAAGCATTGTACAAATTAATGATTAATTAAAGAAAATTGGCAAATGGTCAGTCGCATAATATATTGTTTTCTAATTACTAACCAAAAATCTACAAAGTTATTAGGAAAAAGGTAAAGGACTTTTTTGTTCAGTTTGAATTAATAATATAATATACCTATATGTTGACTTAATAATAATAATATACAAACACACGGCGGCAGATGTTGCTACTACGTCTACCATATTTCGCGTAATTAATCACAAATTTTCTTTAATTAATATTTCAATAATTATTGCAATAAATATCACAAAACGATATAGGACTTATATATTCATCTTAATCCTCTACGAGGATTTTGGAGGTTGTTCTAGGACATCTTGTATATGTGTAAAGTTAACAAATCGTAGGAAACAATAGTAAATGAATATTAAGATTTATATGACAGCTGATGTAGACAGGTAATAATTCCGCCATGCTACGATTAGTGAACGTTTTCCATCAAGGATATACTGTGCCATACTGTGTAAAGTGCTTGTTTAAGCAATTTAGTTTTTTAATATAACAAACTTAATGAATATTTCAAAGTACATTATGATTTCCCATCTTTATTGTTATAAATTATTATAAATATTTTTAGTATAATCTTAAGTTTGATTTAAGACGATTTTAAATAAACAATAATAATAATTTCGTTAGCAATAAAACATCACTGAATTAAGCCACTTACAGGGTATATCCAATAATTAATATCTAATAATTAACAATACAACGTTCATGTACAAGTGGATAAGTGTACAAATATCAATATCAAATTGAATAAAAGTGTTTAATCATATCTTAAGTTTCATAATAGTTACGAATTAATTAAAACATATCAGCAAATAAATAGTAGAAGAATAAGTTATATAGGCATGGTCTCATAGAAAATGTATCGAAAGTTTTTAATAGAAAATAATTGGAATATTATTTATAATATCAACGACCTCACCGATTTTAACGATGTTGAAATATGTTAGAGGGGGAAGGTTTATAAATAAAATCTAGGTTTCTAGATAAAAGATGGTCGCATATTGTTAAAAAGTTTCATAAATTGAACATAATGTTTGTACACAGTGTACATTGAAATATGATAAACAGTATATATATTAGGTGGTAAACTTAGTTCCTGCGGTTTTTTTGTTTAAAAAACTCATTTATTTCGACATCAAAAGCAAAAAATACATTAATCGAAGTATTTTCCCTCGCTAGCTATACATTTTTCCCATCTTTCGGGCAACGCGTAGATTCCGCGACGATAGAACGATTGGTCTTTTGATGCAATCCATTCGTCGATCCATTTTCGCACATCCTCGTAATTTCTGAAGTGTGTATCCACCAAGCCGTGCTGCATCGACCGGAACAAGTAATAGTCCGAAGGAGCTAAGTCTGGTGAATACGCTGGGTGCGGGAGAACTTCCCACTCGAGCTGCATCAGTGTTTCTTTGACGGCTTTGGCAACGTGTGGTCGAGCGTTGTCGTGCAAAAGCATGACTTTACGTCGATTGCTGGCTACTGCTGGCCTTTTTTCCAACAATGCTTCATTCAGACGGTTTAATTGTGATTGATATCGATCCCCCGTGATACTTTCGTTCGGTCTGAGTAGCTCATAATAAACGACGCCGTGCATATCCCACCAAATGCAAAGCATTGCTTTGTGGCCATGAATATTTCTCTTTGGTGTGGATGTCGATGGTTGGCCAGGGTCTACCCATGATTTTCTTCGTTTAGGATTATCGAAGTATATCCATTTTTCATCGCCAGTCACTATGCGCCACAAAAAACTCTTCTTTTTCTGCCTGGCGAGCAGAGAAATAGAGATGTTTAAGCGATTCGCAATGGCATTTGCGGTTAATTCGTGTGGTACCCATTTTCCCTCCTTTTGAATTTTTCCCATTGCATGTAGACGTTTGGAAACAGCCATCGGAGTAACATTTAATGCTGCAGACAATTCTTGGAGCGTTTGAGTAGAGTTTTCGTCCAATAATGCCTGCAAATCGGTGCCTTCAAACTTTTTCGGTTGGCCTGAGCGTTCTTTATCATTGACATCAAAATCACCACTCTTAAATCGCTGAAACCATACTTGGCATGTTCTTTCCGATGGAGCATAATTGCCATAAGCTTCGAAAAGCAATTTATGAGCTGCAGCTGCAGTTTTTTTCAAGTCAAAGTAATAAAGCAGCACATGTCGAAAAAACAACTTATCACGTTCCACATTTAATCAAAAGAAAAAATAGCACTGCTCGCTTAAATGAATCTCTTCGCACTGAATTTTATTGACAAATTTATTGACAATCTAACCTCTAAAATGCAGCTAGTTTCAGATGTAAAAATAAATTACACCTACAACTAACGTCATCTAACTGTGAGCCGCAGGAACTAAGTTTACCACCTAATATATACGTGGGGGTGCGACACCGCTTTTCCCCAAAAAGAACTAACTTAAACCTAACCTATTCCTCTATACATTTTTGATAAAAATACGAAACAGAAAATCCATCTATAAACTTAATCTTGACATGTTATCAAGAATATATCCCTGAGTAACATTCAAACAATTTTTATATTCATTCTTTGTATTTTTTGTATTCTTATATTATTTCTCATTGAGAAACTATGTGCAAAAATATAAAAAATGGGTTAAGTTAAATTAGTTTTTTTTATGAAGAGTGCAAAAGCGGAGGCTCTCCTCCGCGCATATACGTATACTGTCTATAAAATTATTTTCATATTCGAGGCGATTTTCAGAAGCTACATTTCTTACTTTCCTCTTGTTACGCAGTGAGAGCCTCTGACGGGATTGACGGTCACGGCTCTCTGCTTCAAGGCTGTTGACATTATGAAGCGTATTTATGTAATGCCTACCAAAGATGCGTTTGAAAAGCACGTTGATTAGCGTTAAAGGGATGCTGAAGCTTTACCGACAGAACACTGAAATTTTTCTACAAAGCGCAAAGTTTACGTCGTATTGGTTACACAGAATTACAAATGTTTTTACGCAAGAAAAATACGTACAAAAATAAATAGGAGTATTGTTAGATATGTGACAAAAACAAACAAAAAACTTTCAAATCTCAAGTTGTCAGTTAGCGTGATATTTGCCTAATTCAAAAGTTCCATAGCTTGTACATACCGAAAGTATGGATGCTTCAAACAGAAAAATTTG